TCCTGGTGATTAATCTGCTGGCTATCCTGAGGCTTATATTTCATCCTGAAAAACTTCACCACTTTACCGATCCTTCCAACAACAAAATTTGGTAGGATTTTAGCTGCTTCGATTTGTCCCCTTCGTTTCGACCATTCCAAAATCGGATGAGGTGCCATTCTGGGAGTATTTGTGAACACAAAAGAAATATGAAAATTCATACTTAATTATACAGTTCGTCTGCCTGCTTTGCCATATTCTTGGTCACAATTTTTTACCCTCTCACCATTTAATGATTAGAATTACATATTATATCCTTACCAAAAATAAAAGAATTTTGCCGAGTATCGTGAATCGGTTCATTTTCATATTGATTTGCAGCAGAACTCGGTGATTACAATCCTGTGGAGCACACTGCAGCCCTGATTTCAGAATTTCGCTTTCATCCAGAACAAGACGAAGAAATGGAAATTGCAATTCTGGAAAAATTTACTACGTGCAGGTGTTATATTTTTTCAAAGGGCTTGTAATAGATGGATATATGAAATGCTCTTCAGTTGTTTTTTTTCTGGAAATTCTCCCAGAGATTTCTTAGGTTTTTCATGATTTTCCTGAATAACTGAGATTTCAGAGGTCAATCGCCAGCTCAAGCTGAATTGAACTATTTGAATAAAGCAAAGTGGATCGAGCTGTATGGCGTTGATATGCATGTGGTCGAAGGAAAAGATGGAAATTTTTATAAGTTTGTTTTATTTCATATCACCGATAATTAATGCAAAATTAATGCTTACGTACAAGATACTGTGGCAAAGTCGAAATGGATAGCCGGAAAATGAAAACAAGAGGTAGGAAGTTAAGAAAAAGTGAGATAACATGTTTTGGAATATTATGTTTTAAACGTCTTAAGTCAGCACTGCAACTGGACCTCGTCAGCACGATTGTGATGCAGATTTGGGAGACACCAGAAAGCGAAACAAACGAGTAAATTGGAAAGAAATTTTTAAAAAAATATTATGCAAATACTTCAATTGCCAG